CAGCACCTGGGTCATAGTTTTCTGGTTCAGTGTGGAACAAAAACGATTAACTACAAAGGGCATTTCGATATGTAGAAAAGGGCTGCTGATGTTCAATGTCAAGATCTTGGACTCTTAAGGGAGGATAGGCAAAGATAGATGAATCACAACCTCTGCGCCTTACAGCTGCCTTTCCAACCATCATTGATTCCTAGTTTGGGCCTGATTGATTCTTGTACTCAATCCATGGTTTGTGATACCGTACCATACTGCTCGGTACGGGCGGTATGTATTAATCCAATAGAGGATCAATACGCGTGATATATCAGTATACCTTAATGTACCATGTGTCGATATGCTCAGTACAACTTGGTACAGCTTGGTACATACCATACTGACAGTTGATCGGTATACCGGTACGATACGGTATTCAGAACCTTGACTGAATCTACACCTCCCATGGTCAAAATCTGTCACCATCTGCTACCATTCTCTCATCAATAACCCTTGTCAATGATACTGTAGACATTGTCTATGCTCCTGCTAATCTACTCTTCGACATGAACATCCATTTCAACTCCATTTGTGTCGTTCCCTCTTTCAAGCCTTCGACCTCTTCAAGACAAGGCAATGTACTAAGAAAATGGATAAATCTTACAAGTCTCTTTATGTTTTTTTCTAAACCCAGCAGGACTAGGAAACCCAATTGACCCACTCAGTCAAACAATATGAACAGGAGACATCAATAGCAGATCTGAGATATGGAAAAGTCTTCTTTGTCTTAAGAAATTCTAGGTTTATCAACAATCCAACCACAAACCGATGGGAGGTGATTCAACCAAGCCAACCTGGCTGATGTGCTTGGTCTCAAGTTTCAAGAGCTTGAATCATGTGACCGAAAAAGAAAAAGTGGTCAAGAATGCTTCCGTATAGATTATGTTAACTTTCTTCGGAGAAACGAGCAATCAGTAATGCCAATATAAGCCAAGAATTACCTAATGTTTCATACATCAACAGAATTCAAACAAAAGAAACAGGGAAAGATCACAAATAGGTGAAGCAATTGATCCCTAAATGACCTGAGGGAAAAGATAGATTTTGGGGCAAATCCATCGAACTTATATTCTAGTTAATCTGCATGTAAAAGGCTGCACAATTTCCTGAATTACACTGTAGGATATTACTGTGACTGGGTTCTCAGCATGGTCTACATGCTCTAGCAATACTATACAGAAAACACTCCAAGTCTGATGCGTTTGGCTAATAAAAAAAATGCAATCATGAGCACAAATTTGTCCTCAAAAAGTGCATCAGTTCAATGGGAGACCACAACAAAAGAAAATATGTATGGCATAATCCAAATAATGTCGTAGACGAAAGGCTAGGACAAACATGTGGAAAACCAATGAATTTGTGAATACAAATCAGGAACTACTTTGTTTTGTGAGTGTGAAACTCAATGACTAGAATTTACCACACAACTACTCTGGTAAATTTGTAAGTGATGAATACCTGTAGAAAGTCATACAGGTCATCGCTAACTCCCTTTTCATTGTGACGAAGATCACGCTTATCTGAACTGTAGCTGAAACCGGTTCCAGTGGGCTGATCAACATATATAAGATTTGATGCCTATAAAGTAAATGAGAAAGGGTCAGTATGCATAGTATTATACTGTAAGAAACTGATCTTAGAATTGTACTATGTCCAGTTCAATTTCTACTCAACTAAAAAAAAAATTTCTTCATTGCAGGAGAATGGCATAATAGTCCACTTCAAAGTGTACCACATCATCAGTCATTGTAAATCAGATAACTTTGTCAGTCATAATTACCTAGTGTCCACAAAACTCACCAGGTAAATTGGGTGCCAACATGTTTATAAACGAAAAGTTAAACTACCATTAATGAATATTTCTTTAAAAAATATTTCAGCATTGTACTAAACAAAAAGGGTCACCGACAGTGTTACATAAACAATCCATATGGATGTCCATCCAAGTGTCCAATTTGGCAAGGAGACGATGAAGACATATGGAGGAATATGAGACTATTAATTTGGAAAAAAAATGGAATACTTATCTTGTAATGTTATCAAAATATGGAATATTTGGATTTAAGTGCATAAGAAGTTTTAGAATCACAAAAGATCCACTTCTTCAATCACTATGTTGTTTGATTTGGAATACTATAATCGAATGACCTGATAAATATCTCACTACTAAATCCTTGTGTATTTATACAAGATCTACACTTATCTGTTTATTTAGTTTATTTCCTATTCCATCTCTTACATTTCCAATTTCTGAAAGAAGTAATATAAAAATATCTTTGTTCTGACACCAATATTAGTTATATCAGATAATTCACAACATTATGACAGAGAAGTGACAAAACAACATGGTGTGACCTCATGATCATAAGTAAATGAGAAAATTGATAAATCCTAATACATAGAAAGAAATAAGAATTAATATGATGTCATATTTTTATAAAAAGTTGTTCAAACTTCAAACTACAGTCTTATTCGAAACATCATGTTGGTATTTAATATGAAATAACAAAGCTCAAGTAAATTTTTATGTTTTTAGAAACAGATGCATATGGTTCAAAATCAAAGAATGTCAATGCAGGAATCTGTTCATCAGTTCAACTTAAAAAAATATATTCTAATAGTAAAAAAGAATAAAATTGAGTTGGAGACACCTGATATTTAAACAATGGAACTTCCAAAAAAGAGAGTCCAAACCATTGTGCAAGAGATGTCTTTGATAGTATGCATTTTTTATCCCAATTACGTATATGAAATTTACTCAAGAAATGAAATTAACTGCTTTACACATTCAAATAAGATGACACAAGAAAACACATGCAGAAATGCATGATAAGAATGAAGGGAGAGATCAGTGTAATAAACCTTAATATAAATTATAGAACTAAATCCTAAGAAAAAACAACCAGCAGTGAGGTCCAACAGTTACCTGATCCCAACCGAATTGGTTCCACACAAGTGACATGTTATCGGCTATACTGAAAGGCCCATTCTCATAAAAAACCGCCAATTCACTGCTGCAGCCAGGTCCTCCCGTCAACCAAATGACGATCGGGTCCTTGTTGCTATTCCTCGACTCGAAAAATAAGTAGAACATCCTACAAAAAGGAAAACCCATGAACTCGACAATATCACAACACTCAGTCGAGGCCTTAATTTCTGTGGCTCTAATTCCCACGCCAAGATCCACGTTTGCCCAAGCCCAGTGCCAATGCCTCATCAAAACAAAGATGTTGCATCCCACTCGGTGCATCACAGCCGCCAATCAGAGTAACGAAGGACCGAAGAGAGAAGCCCTCACCTGGCGTCATGGGTGTGAGGAAGGCTGTAATAACCGGCGTGATGGCCGAGATCATCAACAGATGTCCCATCGGAGAGGCCAGGGAAGCGGAAACGCCTCTCGAAGATCCTATTCCGCGAGGCATCAGAGGAGAAGCCGACGGTGGACTCGGGGGAGGCGTCCTTGGGGATGAGATTTAGGGCTCGGATCAGCTTCTTGGCGCTGGCGCGGGGGAAGGCGGAGGTGGAGGGGAGGCGAAGGTCGTCGGGAATCGAGCCGGCGGAGGCGGCGTGGGAGAGAAAGAGGCCGGAGACGAGGAGGAGGAGGAAGAAGAGAGAGAGATTTCCCATGATTTGCAAGGGAAGATAAAAGGAGGACGGTGCGGAGAGAGAGGAGGGGAATGGTAGTTTATAAAGCGTGGGATACGCACAAACCAAGGAATCAACCAACAAATAAGCGGTGGCAGATAAAAGACGTCACGTGGTAGTCGCGTGGAAGCATGGTCAAATATCTGCCTGCGTACACGTTCTAATTATCTGTAATTTTATCTGTATTTTTTTTTCAAATAAAGAAGGGAAAAAAATAATAATAATAATAATAATATTAGATCAGCAAATGTCTATCAGATCTTTCGAACCTGATCGACCCAAAATGTTTGGCATATACAACGAAACGAAACAATGTGGTTTCCCCATTGGGTTATTTAGGATATTAACGAGAAGAAGAAGAGTGATAGTCATTAAAAAATTACTGGTAATGGAATTTCCAAGGAACTTTACTTTGGTTATTTAGAATATTAACAAGCGAAACATTATCACTTTCTATTTATAGGTTAGCAGTCCTTCGGTAGTACTTGCTATAAAATCAGTCTTAGCCTAAGAAATAGAGGTCATTAACTGGCCTCTGATATAAAACCAATGTCTCCCTTAGAAGAAGAGGTATGGAAAGCACCTTATACTTATTTTAATTCATCCATCCATATGGCCAAAAATATTTTAAAAATTTTAGCATGAGAGATTTATGAGATTATATACTCCTATATAATTAAGTAATATATATTATAAATATAATTAGATTGGTAGTTATGGATGAATAAAAAAAGTTCAATTATAATAGAATTACTTAGTAATAACTTTAATAGGAATTTTTTTTAATTATTATTAGAGATCCTCTCTATAAAAGGATAAAGATCGGACTGGACACTAGTCATTCGGATCTCTCCTAATCTCTAATCCGATTAAAAAAAAAATACGTGCTTATAGATCAAATAAAGGTTCTCAGTATGCATCATAAATTTGATCTATCGTTATTTGATTTTGATTTGTGACATTAAAATTCTTCGCATAATAATAACATAATCATGATTTTTATGATTATATTTGGTACCAAACCTTTATTTTTAAAATCAAATATCTTAGACCTGTTTATTAGCATCATTCGCTTGTTTTTAATTTATGATGCTTGAATGATCCGTATATATTTTTTATTTACAATTTTAACACCCAGTTGGGGATACAAAGGAATCATGAGATAGTGTGACATAGTTTTAATGCACGTGTGAAAAGTTATTTTTTTGCATTCATCTCTTGAGCAACTTTAAAAGTTATATTTATAGTTAAACAAGGATTAGCGCTGTGAAGCATGACAAACAATTATGGCTTGCTGTAGAAATAGCAGCTATGATAGTGAATGCTGATCACAACTTGCAGATTAACATTAAACATGACCGATAACATCACGACAAAAACATGCCGAGGATCAGATGAATGCAAAAAAGTAACCCTCCTGACACAAAAAATAACAATTATGCTGTATAAACTTTCAGATGGACTTACAATCCACATCATCGGAGCTGAACATCTGTATTTGATTTGCACGGTTCAAGGACAACAACCATCCTTGGAAATCTACACACAAGAAGATCGAACTGGGATGATCCAATGTTGATATGATGATGACAGTCTCTAATCATAAAGGCCTTCTTCATGCCAGACATCAACTAAAAAATCCACCATCTCCTGAATAAGTTCAGCCAGGAAATTATTAGCTGGAAGAATATGCAATTATGTAGACTTTGAAAATCTAGAAATCGGAATGGTGAAACACTACCTACCGACAATGGGATGGGTTGCGGAAAAGGTTGAGTGGTTGAGACTAAATCCTCATATGTGGTGCTCCAGCTGCAAGGAAACATCAAACATTTAAGCAGCCAAAGAAACAACAAAAGAAAGTCCGTGACACAACATTGTTAGTTCAGTAAGATTCATTAAATTTTCTGGTCCACGGGTATCCACCCGGCTCAAATAAAGCAAGAAGGGTCTAACATTCTGCAAATCTTCAAAGATATTGTTTGGTGTAAAGGAAAATACATGAAAAATTATACAAACATGATGGTGTTGGAGAATTCTTGTAGGGTGATAGGCGACCTTGTTGATATAGCAATGGTGACAATAATTACCTTGAAAATGGGGGAAAAAAAAAGGATAACAGGGTGACCATATAGATGTATGATCATGCATATGCACAGAAAAAGATAATACGCAAAATTATAATAATAAATCTCTATAATAAAAAAACAAGGAAGAAAAGAGGCAGATGTTGCGGCCTAGCAAATGGCTATAAACTACTAAAAACTACTGGAAAACTTACAATTATCATTATTCAGATATTGACATTTATAGAGCAACAAGAAAGTAGAAACTCAAGCTAACCTTATTGTGGGTTCTCTCGGAGCCATATGGGATCTCTTAGACTGATCTCCAACCCATTCTCTTCGCATCTCATTCCAAGCTATAGCAGCTACTTAAAAGTCAGGCAGTGACACTAAGAATCTTTAGTGAAAATTTCAGTATGCATAAGGTAATCAACCGAAATTCCAAATGTTTTTAGCAACTGGCCGGTAAGTATGCAAGTTATTAAAGGGCCATAGGCACAAGGCAGAAAAATACAGCGAAATAATTGTGGTATATGCTAACTTTCTACAGAAGGTATAGAATGAAAGGATTCTACTTTTACATGATTATTGCTTAAAACCTATAGATAAAACTAACCAACATATAATGACAAAGAATACTTTCCATATTTATTATTATATATTTGTTGTCATCAACATTCGGTACATGATAATCAAGAATTTGTATATTCATAGTTTAATAACCAACTTAACAAAATTCCAGATTAACAAACTCATCAAGTATTTCTTCTAGGATGTAGACAAGCAATTTAATCAGATGATGAAGAATCACAATTTCTAATGTAATCCAAAATTCATGCAACATAAGAATAAAAAGAAACAAAAAGAGAGCATTGGAAGAACCAAAAGCACTACAAATTATCCTCCAGGGCGATGCATCTAAAAGCAAAGACAAATATTACTTCTAAACTCTTTGAGGTCAGCTATATGTCTTTGCTGGCAATTGAACTCTGTTAAGAGCAATGTCTCTAGCTATCCAACATTCGACAAATCTTGCATTATTTTTTATAATTTTTTTCCAGATTATCCTCTTATCTCTCTGGGCACCACCAGTCAGAACTTATCTAATTGGAATATTTATAGATTTCTTGTTAGCCTGCCCAACTCATCTTAAAAAGTCCTTCAGTAAATCCATAATTAAAGCTACCTAACTTGCACATAGATGAAAACATTTCTTCATTTTTTTAATAATCCCAAACATCTATCTCAACATTAAAATACACATGATACCAACTTTTTGAATGTGTTGTTTCCTAAGTTCCTATGTTCACATCTTACGACTGTCTTATAAACTTTTTTCCTTAAGTACAAAGTCACATAAGTATCACACAAATCTCTGAACACAAAATATAAGTAACATTAAGCTATTGCAACTTTAAGTAGAAGAGTACCTTAATGCCAAATATGAAATACAAATAAAGCAAATGTTTAGTGACTAGAGATAATGGCATGTTAAATATCAACAAAATAATAAGAGGGACCAACCTTGATTAGTAAATAAGTTGTTATGATTTTCCTCTGGCAACATCATGATCTCATTGGCAGCATTAGGTGCTAAAGAGAAATTTGTCTCAAGGGAATGAGATATGCTAATATTGTTCTCCATTGCCTCTGGACTTGAAGACCATTGGCTTTCTTTGTGTGCTGAAAAATGACCAATATTTATCTTCTTAGATGCCATCGGCGTTCTTTCTGGTAAAGATTGAGGTTTGGCTAGACCTCCAACACAACAACTGCTCTGTTCAAGATAAAAATATGAGAGGTGCTCCCGTTGAATACAATACCGGATACATGAGTGCACTAAATCCAAACCGCAACATTAACAACTGGGATGACTGAAATGCTAAAGAAGAATAGATTCAACTAAATAAATCTGGTTCTTTTTTTGCAGCTTAAATGTCACCTACCCCATGTATTCTATGAGACAGTTGCTTCCTTAAGTTTATCCATCTAACAGGCTCTGCGAGGCAGAACCAGATAGCTTTCACACTTCCAATTAATATATGTCATCAGATTCTTCATTCTGTAAAATCTGAGAATTCATCAGTGTCATGTAAAAACAGTAAAGACATATGCATTTGGACTATCTAACAAAAACATATCACAGAGAATAAAAAAAAAAATCAGTTCCAACCAATACAAATCATCAGAAAGCAAACATTATTCAAATCACATTTTCCTAAAACTCCAATATCAATGAGAATCAGGAAGATTAGGAATCCTTGTCCTGCTTTGCATGGGTAGATAAACCATCAATGCTGTAATTCTAACTCAAGGAGGTTGAACAAGGTGGATATATTATTAAAGAAAATAGACTGGACGGAAATCCAGTTTAATTATAAAATGTCTGAATGAATAATGTGGTTTACTTTTGGATTGGATTCAAAATACAAATTAAAAATAAATTGGGCAGTTTGAACTTCAAAAGTTATAGTTCCTTAACTATTCATGAGCACATGCCATAGTGTTGATCCAAATATAATGCCACAAAGAGCCTTGTTACTTAAGGGAACTTTTACTGATACTTGATTCTTATCAAAAGCTATTGCTGGACTAAATTTAGATCCTCTCATGGTTAGGTCTCAGAACATTTCTTGCTCTTCTTCAATTGAAACTTCCTACTCGAACAACAAGCCACATGGGTGTTGCTCAGTTCTGTTTTGGTTTCTATGGACCACCTTCCTTCTTATTGAGGACTGCTTGAGGCCTTATTGGCATGAATAAGCAAAATGACCAATGCTCATTGAAACATAACTGTTGAAACTTCCTTCTTGAACAAAAAGCCATAAGGTTGTTGCTCAGTTCTGTTTCGGTTTCTTTGGATCACCTTACTTCTTATGAGGTCTTATTGCCCTGGAGGTGACAATATTTTTGGCATGAATACGCAAAACGACCCATGTTCATTGAAACACAACTGTTGATACTTCCTACTTGAACAACAAGCCATAAGGTTGCAGATCGATTCTGTGTTTCAGTTTATTTGGATCACCTATCTTCTCACTAAGGACTACTCTAGGCCTTTCTGTCTCAGTAGGAACAATATTTTTGGCATGTATAGGCAAAAATGACCTGTGTTAATTTCAAACATAATTCAAGTCTTGAAAAATACCAAACTGCATGCTACTCTCATCCATGAGCGAGCAACTAAACGTGCAAATAACATCAACCCCTAATAAAATTATCCGTCGTTGCAATTTGCAGAGGTAAAAATTACTCTACACGCATGCTCTTCTTCAGGAATTTTAACGCTCAACGCTGTAACTACACAGAAAAGGAAAGAACACAGAAACCATATACAAGTCCTTTCGACATCAAACTCTCCCTTCCCCCGATCTGAGCAAACATCCAATAAACGTGCGGTCAAATCTGGCTACTCCTAACTAAAATACACAGCGCCAAGTCTTTCCATTCCCACGACAAGCAAAAGAGGGGAATAAAAATTAAGTAATCGAGCACGACCAAAGACCGAATTATTTCTAGCGGAATGGGACGCGGCCGACGGAGACGAATCTGGCCCCAGAATCACCCGAATTAATAAATGCACGATCGACTCAACCGACGGAAAGGGCCAAAGAACGATCAAATCAAATTAGCAGACTACAAGAGAACAAAAAGGGGCCGCAGGCAACAGAAACAAACACAGATGGGTTTGCCTGTTGGGATTAGAAATAGCATCAGCATCGATTCGACGATCGAGAAAATGGTTGAGATGCAAAAATCAAGGGAAGGAATTTAGGGTTTGAGGGCGGAACGCAGCCATACATACCCTCGATTCCTCCTCGATCGAAGCGTAGCGGGTAAGGAACCGGGAAAGCAACTACTCTTGGGACTTCGTTGGGGATTGGAGGTCTGATTGGGCCCCGCCTCTTGGATCCTAACTCGTGGACGGATGCCACGTGGCGAACGAGACGCAATCTCACGGTCCCAATTAATTGCGAATTAGAAAATTGGGAATATTTAACGTGCGCTGCAGTGGTATATATATATATATATATATATATATATATATATAATCCCATTTGGTGGTATAAAAAGAGGCCCAAAAATATATAAGAGGGTCTTAACTTCATATATTATGTAGAGTTAGATTAAGTCTTTAACTAGTATTTAAAGTGATGTTATATTCACTATGCACTCAATAACCAGAAGGGTTGGCTAACTTAATTTTTTTGATGTCTGATGTTTGAATAATCTTGTTCGGTGGATCGTTTCCATTTCTTGTGAATTGAGATGAGAGTGTGGATATAAAATGATATTGACATGAATATGAGATAAGGGTGTAGAGATAAGAGGTACCGACATGAATATGTGTGATTACAAGATAGATACTCTCTCAACAAAAAAAAAAAAAAAAAAAGATGTGGTTGATAAAATAGGTATTCATGTTTCTTATAACATCGCATTCCAATTCGTATAAATGTCAATAAAAGCAGCAACATAAATTAGGATACATATCCAAGTGGGGTTATCCCCAACTACTTCAATCATTTCAAAGTCTACAAAGTCACGTATAAAACTCGAGTATTTGACATTCGTAAAGAGTTAGGTAGAACACAAGAGGGTGACAGTTGATGGCTACAACCACCAACCGCCACCCAAATCTTAAATCCTTTTAAAAAAAATACACCTAAATTTGCACTCAAATTAAATCACAAACATCAAAAAAAACAAAACCTTTTTTTTTTCTCTAACTTAAAGTTAAAACTAAGCATTTACATGTAATTGTGGACCTCGGCCACGTTAGTCAACCTATGAAACGATGTCCTTCATATCTTGCATAGCCAATTAATGCTTGCGAAAACCCTCACGAAATCCAATCGTCGACCAATGAGCATCAACATACATGTTACCTTCTCCGGCCGACATCTTTATCCATTTGTTTGTTTGGCTAACACAAGAAAGAATCAAAGCAAATAAAAGAAGTCCGTTGGTCTTTTCCTAGCCAAACATTTTGATTGGTCTCAGCCTCCAAGTTGGACATGGAAGCCGCCCAATCATTCAATCTCATCATCATCATCGACTTGGCATTTAGCGATCACCACCCATTTTGTTTGGTCCCCTCACATGGAATTGTTCCCTATTTGATTGTAAAATGTATGTATATTATATATATATAGTTAAGGGTTTCTAGTTTTAATTAATAAGTGAAGACCTACTATCCGCATACGATCCCATAGTACGGAGTCAACACTAAGCTCGAACTCATATGTATCAAGTTCATTTACGAATTAAATTTTTTGAGAATGACATGACACCTATAAGCGAAGGAAGGAGTCTATAATTGTAAACTTAGACGAAGGTGAAAGTTCAAACATAATCAATAATTTGGTTCGATGTTAGATCATCTCATCAAATGGAAACGTGACAAAATTGGTTTTGTGGATCATCTCGCTAGGTGGGATGGCGATGCAACATCTCATCGATCGATAATCAAAATAGCAAAGTGCAATAAGAATACGGTGTGGGATGCATTTAAACGATCAACATCAAAATTGTCTTGTCCTTTTGATATAAATGGGGTCAATTCATGTGTCCTATTAGCCTCTTCGAGAGACATGCGAGTGTAACCACACATGGCGAAGCGAACTCTTTGTTCGAAGCAGGTGAGATGTCCCCTGCATTATGTGGTATTCTATTTCTTTGGCTGCTATCATGACGTGGGTTTGGATAAGCACTGTGGCCATGGTGGCTGTGCATGTGAGATGCTGGGCTTCCCTCTGCTTGTTCTTTAGAGACTTGCTAATACAATGTGATTTGCTCAACTTGTCATGTGCTATGAATAGTAATTTGCTAGTAATCAAGTCATATTCATTTTGGTCAACTTATGTTACTACCAACTGGTTAATCACATGACATTATATTGCAAAAAATTCATGGTCAAACATCACTAATGGAAGGTAGTTCGATTTAGGATATCATTTGGGATGAGTAATTCTAGTAGTTAAATTAGGATATCACTCGATTTGTATGTCATTTGGGTGATTAGCTCATAAGAATCAGAGTTATCATCCCACAAATTAAAAATCTTTCGTTGATGTTGTAAGCAACCGACAAAGTAGGTTTGGAGAAGTACGGAAGAATAGGAGATGATTGCTAGGCTTCCACAATGGGGTTGACATCAAAGCTAGGCGAAGTCAAAGAGAACTGACCAATTAAAATGCCATAACATGGATTTGAGGAGAGTTGGATTAGGCAGTGGAGACTTTGGGCGGTCTTTCTAATTAGATCATGAATATAATGCAATTGGATGATAAGAAAAGAGTTGATAGTTCATTTGGAACGCAGATTTCTAATTGGCTCGATTGGGTCTTCTTCTTCTTCTTCTTTCTTTTCTTTGTTTTTGGATGCTTCAGCAACGGAGGTGGCTTGATGTTTGGCACAATAACCGGAGTGCGCAACCCCGGTGGGGCCTCCGTCATCCCCCTAAACCACGGAAAGCCAAACCTCCAAACTCCGAACCCCTTGTGGTCTTCGTGCTTAATGGCGGTGTGGCCTAATCCCTACAGCAGCAGATAGTGACGCGCTATGCTGACTCCTTTAGCCTCTCGACAACGTCAAGAACGCCAGTGTCAGCTGACACAACTCACTTTGTGATCCGTCACCCAATTGTTGGCAAATGGAAATCACGGCATGATCTGAGGAAGAAAATGCATGTTGTGCTCACCAAAATCTCACTCCATGGCTTAACCCACCACTGCTATAAATATGCCAGCCTTCCAAACCCATCATTGCATCAGCCTGCAGCCTCTCTTCCTCTCTTCCGCCTGCATGGCTTGCCTCATTCCCTTGCTTGTCTTCCTCGTTTTGCGCACCGCTGATGCGCAGCCCTCGCCAGGATACCATCCGAGTTCTTCGGTGAGTCCTATCAGATTCTACGAAGGCTACAGCAATCTCTGGGGGCCTCAGCATCAGACGATCTCCCCGGATCAGTATTCTACGACCATTTGGCTCGACACCAGCTCAGGTCCGTTGTTCTCGCTCTCCAGGTTTGGACTTCCTTCCCTGCATCTCTGACCTCGTCGAACTCATACGAACGCAGGGAGTGGATTCAAGTCGAAGAACTCTTACCGAAACGGCTACTTCGGTGCTTCGATCAAGCTCCAAAGCGGCTACACCGCCGGAGTGAACACGGCATTCTATGTGAGTCCCTGCTAACAGTGCGTCCGCCAATTCTTTCCACCTCTGCACGCTTGTGCTAATTGCCCGTCATCATCATGTGTAGCTCTCCAACAATCAAGCTTACCCTGGGTTCCACGACGAGGTGGACATCGAGTTCTTGGGGAACATAGAGGGCAGGCCATACATCCTGCAGACGAACGTGTACGTCAGGGGCAGCGGCGATGGCAGGATCATCGGCAGGGAGATGCGGTTCCACCTCTGGTTCGATCCCACCGCCAGCTTCCACCATTACGCCATTCTTTGGGACTCCGACGAGATAATGTGAGTACTTGGGAAACTATCCTTTTCGAACAGTGCCAACCGAGTGGGGGCACTGATGGTCACATCAGTGCTGTAGCAACTGTGGGGCGGTACGCGCAAGCAGTGGACCTGATGGATCTGTGTACTCCTGGACTGCACCGGAGACCCATGATCAAGCCATAATCAACGGGCTTGACAGTGTCTCTTCTCCCTTACCAATTCGGTTTTCTGCAGATAGACAAAAACATCTTACGTCAACGTAATACGATGCAGATTCCTGGTGGACGATGTGCCGATACGGCGATACGCGAGGAAGGTGGAGGCGACGTTCCCCGACCGGCCCATGTGGGTGTACGGCTCCATCTGGGACGCGTCGTCGTGGGCCACCGACAACGGCAAGTACAAGGCGGATTACCGCTACCAGCCGTTCGTCGCCAAGTACACCGACTTCAAGCTGGGGGGGTGCACCGGGTCGGCGCCGCCGAGCTGCCGCCCGGTGCCGTCGTCGCCCTCGGGCCACGGGCTGAGCCCCCAGCAGTATGCGGCGATGCGGTGGGTGCAGAACAACTACATGGTCTACTACTACTGCGAGGACTCCAGCAGGGACCGTTCTCTCACGCCGGAGTGCTGAAGCCTAGTTTGGGCCCTGTGGTTTGTATGCTGCTGCTACAAGGAGGAGCCGCCCTGCTACTACTATATGATGTCGGTAGTTGAGGCGTTCGTGGGTGTCATAGTTTTCGATACTGATACAAGTTTGGGTGCTGCCGTGTTCTTTTTCTCTGTCGGTGTTGTAGTCCGTCCATATATTTGGTCATACTCATATTTATACACATGTCCAAAGTGTATCAAATGAAGGTTGATGCAGTCAATATAAGGGTTATACTTGTTCTCTCTGCTCGTGTTGTCCCCTTCAAAAGCTTTTCTGCATGAGCATCGTCTGCAATCCAGCAATGGTTGAACCAGGATATGAATGGGAAGTCCATGATCCAACGTAGCTTTCATCGATATGTCCACAAGTCGCACTACGTCCGACCCCGGTTGTCGAAGGGGTTGTTGGCCCATGGAACATATTACGGTAATGAGCTCAATCAATTGTTTGGGGACCGATCAATTTGGAGTGAGAACGGATGTACCATACACGACACGGGTTCTTCAACATGATCAACGAAACGTGCAGTACGGTGGAATGAGAAGTCTGTTCCTGCCGTGTATGACATCCACCGGGGAAAATAAGTTACCTCAGAGGTTTAGTACTACTGATTGGGAATATATAATTAGAGGAGAAATATCACAATACTACTGATCGGGAAGCTCCTCCCAATCTCGATCTTTACGTAGGTAACGAACGAGCTTAGAGAGACCGCGCTCTATTCTGCATGACTGCTCGCATACGAATCAGAGCCATGTTGTGCTGACGAAGATGTAAACGATATTTTCTCTTAACATTTTAGCGCTACGAGGGTTTGATGTAACAGGAGTTTTCGCAGGTCATTCCTATCTATGAACAGGCTCCGCTTTCGACCCATGATACTTTTACTTAGATAAAGCAAGAGTACTAATGTAGTACTGTCATTCATTCAACAACCTTAGACCCTCATCTTCGGGAGTATCGTCGAGCCATCTACTCGTTCCTGTCAATGCGTTCTTCAACCTTACCTAGCAAATGCAAGTATTAGCATATATAATACAAGTTGTTACCTTGCTTTTACCCTATGGATGATGACATTGCCTCAACCATCCTCAATAGTCTGGCAACCATCAGCATCGACGTCTGCTGGGGTCCTCCCACCCTATAAATTATCGATATCTCATGGTTATCCAAAACCTATCGAGCCACTAGTCAAGGGAGCGCCCCCAATCCTAACCGTAGAGTTCAGTAGGCTTCCTCACCACTATTCTACTTTGCTTGAATCTGGATCCACTCAGTCCATTCAATAGATAACTCTTTTTTTCTCCCTTGTCGAATTGCTAATAGAGTTGGTATGGTGCACTTGGGTTGTAGTTCCGAATGAAATGTTGTCAAACTCCCTTGGTGAGGTATAGCAGGTGGGAGTACCACTCTCTCGTCGTGCCATAGAGCCTTGCGGGGAAAGATTATTGTAATAGAGTAGAATGAATAGAAATAGAACACATCCCATTGAATCCAAAATTTTGCCTTATTAAAGGCCCCATATGCCCAGTTACTGGCTGAAACCTATTATGTCCACCTAGCCCATATCATCGCTAATGCTACTAAGATAACTGTGTTCCCTTCCAAACTTTTTTAATTGGTCCTCGATAAATCTTTAAATTTTTGGCATCATATATTCCCATTAGTCCAACAATTAGAAGACTCAGTTTTCAAATGCCTCTTAATCGGCATGATCAAACAACCATCCAAAAGCAATGACCAGAAAGTTCATATTCAAGAACAAGACATTTCAACAGTTGAACCCAAAAATCCAAACGAGATACCATTAATTGATCAACAAATGTCAACGGAGATTTAACATCCTTGATTATCCGATGCATGCGTCTACTAAGATGAAGAATCAATGAGGGCCAAGTGCCTTACTTTGGGGGATCCTTCTGAATTCGTCAAAGCCATATCGACCATTTGCAAATTGATCCAAGTTTTAGCACTCCAAGTCAAATCTTGCCAACAGAACTGTTCCATTGGTCACCCACAAAAGTGCAATAAACTAAACGAAAAAGGGAATTGAAGAAGCGGAGTAAACAAATCTGCGGCATATATGCAACTCGGGTTTCTCAAGAAGTTCCCCATCTAGATCAAGAAGTTCCCCATCACCCACAAAAGTGCAATAAACTAAACGAAATAGGGAATTGAAGAAGCGGAGTAAACAAATCTGCGACATATATGCAACTCGGGTTTCTCAAGAAGTTCCCCGTCTAGATCAATTACAGAAGTCAACAAGGAAAAGCGATACCCAAGAATGGCAATGAGTTCACATCACCCCCACAAACAAAAGACCCCAAACCAGACACTAGAAGCCATAAAATTATTGGGAAGAAACCTGTTAAAGCGGAATAATTTTTTCTCTCTGTGTATCAAAATAGGTTCCTCATCAAAATACCAACTTGATATCCAAATAAAAATATCAACCAGCACAGTATAAATAATAGAGCAAAAATCAATCACACAGTAAGACCAAATCATTTTAACGTGAAAAACCTAATATGAGAAAAACCATGGGATCGTAATCCACCTCAAACTTCCACTATCAATGATAATGATAACATGTTTACAGTAGGTCTTCTCTAGAATAACTAGAGGATCAGAATAACATCAATATCATAGATCTTGACTCAAGAATAGCATATCTTTATCATATAGGATGAATCTCCTCAAAACATAATTCTATGTCTCACAAAGTGGATATCACAAGAAAGTACCTTAGAGAGGGTAAACTATAGATCAACACCGTTAGGATTGTAGAGTTTACTGCAAGGATTCTCCACATAAAATTTGAGCCGAAACTGACAATGCTTGGCCATTGATCGTAAAACAGAAAACTCAGAAACCTAATCTTTCTCTCTCTATTTTTCTCTTCTCATTTCTCTACACGTCGCACGCTGCAATCTGATCTATTTTCCTCACCTTCTCTCTCCTCTTTTTAATTTCTTTCGTTTGTTCTCAATAGGTCAATTGTCCAAGCCCACAATTGTCCAAGCCCAACAAAAATACCAATAGAAAATAACGAAGCCAAAAATACCATAGCCCATATCGAAAACAAACTTGGCTAGAAACTGATGGGAGATTTTTAGCATCGGCAACCTCAGGACAAACCTAAATCGAATCTTGACCGAATGAATGTTTAGATCAAGATGACAGATATGAAACTACACATTCTAAGTACCTCGCTTGGATCAAATGTAGAAGCCAGATAGAAACGAGAACCAAGGGAGCTCCTACTCACATTCATGGTGATATTCCGACGAAGATGACGAGCTCGTGTCACCCCCTAACCAAAGGAATCGCAGGTAAGAGACTGAAACCCAAATAACTCCATGAAACGATCCAGAAATCAAAGTAAACAAACCCACCAAACTCAAGATCGGAGGCCTTCTCGAAGAGGGTTGGTGAAGGCGAAGCGGAGGATCTGAAACGAAGAATACCACTAGTAGCAATCAAGTTCGTACAAGAAAGAATAATAAAGGGTTAGGGATAAAAGGTCGCAAGAAATGGAGGGATATTTTACAGACGTTGGAAGATTCTGAAGCCCGTTCATCGCTGGTGAAGTCACGGAAAGAAGAACCAGCGTCGAGCAGAAGGGATTGATTTGTTATGCAAGTTTCGATG